TCCAACCTAGATGAGACAAGAGCACTACAAGCGAAAAGTGGCAACGAAGCCACCAACGGCAGCGGCGGCGAAGACGACGGACGACGACAGGCGACGACGACATCGACGTCGACGACAGCAAAACTCCGATCCGATCCCTGGTCCCTCCCGGGGCCCCTCCTGGCCAGTTTCGGCCGTGGCCACGACGCAGAGCTCCAGCAACGCCCAGAAGTAAGGAAACACACCGACGCTTTTTCCGACCCTGCGCTGAATTTCGCACAGGAGCGCGGATCCTGGTGTGTACGGGATCCTGGTGTATACATGTTTTGTCGTTTCACCACACCACCCCGACATCGCCCCCGACCCTCAAAAAGTCGTGGGATTGAAAATCAACCCGCCACTGGTAATGTATATGTTCCAGCTTCCGAAGAAGCACACCCCCACAACGACGACCTCGGCGACGGAGACGGCCACGGCAGCGACGACAGAACCCTTGATGCCTCGGCGAGGGGCGCCGACCGCGCCGGACCGCGCCATGCGGCCCACGGGGCCCCACCGGCGTCCCGCTCCGCGCCAGGGCGGCTGGCGTCGTCGACGGTCGGTGTCTTGGGCGTCGTGGTCCTCGGCGGCGTCGTCGTCCTCCTCCTCGGCCCTGTTCAACGAGAAGGAATGCGTTGGAAGGGAGATGCTGGCCCTCTCGAGCTTCCCCAGGTCTCCGTCTCTCCTCGGCTGGAGCCGCCTCGAAATCCGACGCGGAAGACGGGACGAGCCGCGAGTGAAGTGGGGTTTCCCGTTCTGGGGGGACAAATCTTGTTTGAACCCATCCGGCTTTGGGGTGATTGCCAACGCCCGCTGGCGTGACCACAAATCGATTCCCTGCGTCGGGAAACGGTAACATACCAACTCCTATTACTAGGGGAGCCGGTGCGAACTGAACCGATTAGCTTCGCGACTGTGGGAGCGTATCAAGGAGGATTCGTATATGTGCCACACATGTTGAGCGACGCTTCCCCATCAAAGCGTAACCGTATCATTACTCCTACACCAAAATGTACTCCGACTAGCGGGAATGATACCAGCTCGCCGCATCCCGCCGCAACCCCTGCAAGAGACGACGACGTGCACTCGGTGGAGCAAGACCTGGGGGTCGGAACTCTTCAGGAAACCCTCGCTACCAGGAAACTGGAGACGCACAAGGCTGGAATTTCAAGAGAAACATGCGGAGGTCTCCTGCTGAATACGCATGCAAGGGGCAAGAATGTATATGTATCCCTTGAAGCTGTAGCCCGAGCGAAAGAATACCCAGTGAGAGCCCCTCAAGGACTCAAGGCCTTCCCAGAGGGGAAGGTCAAGCAGGGGATGCTTGAAGACATGATAGAGAGCTGGACAAAAGAAGATCAGACGGGGAAGGAAAGAGAGAGAGAGAGAGACTGGGGAGCAGAGATGGCACTGCGGCGGAAGAAGACGAATGCCACGCAGAGAGGCGGCGGAGAGAGGAGCAGGCGACCATATGGGCGACGATAGGGGGGACAAAGGGACCTGCGAAGCGGGGGGGAACGTCGACCCCGAGTCGGCGACACCTCGCCGACAGATCGGCGACAGCACCCCGATATAACAGATCCCCAGGGTCATGGGCGGGGCGGGGGCTATCGGGCCCCCACCGGCGGGCGATTGGGGGTCCATACACACCCCCCTTATGTCTCCAGTCGGGGCCTTGACCTAAGGAACCCTAAATAAGAAACGAGGCGCCCATTTTCCATAAGTTAAACCTCGATTTCCGATCGAAAACCGAAGGACAACCTGAGGCAAGCTGCGAAGCACTTGAAGGAACGCGGAGCCCCTCCCCAACCAAAAGGGTTCCTTCTTCAGGGCCCCGACTGTGTGTCTATGCCCCCGTATCGTTGCCGCTGATCCGGGCGCCTGGAGGAGGGGGTTATGTTATCCGCCACTGTGCCTGCCACGCTGCAATCTGGAACAAATTGTCCCAGTGCGACCCTACCTAGGAGTTGGAGCATCTAGGAAAGCAACGTCTACATCGGAGTTGGAGCATCTAGGAGCTGGAGCATCTAGGAGAGGAGGGGGGGGGGTCGCCACGACGGAGCCGCAGGAGCGCCCCCATGCACGGCCCAGGCCCCCCACGAGAGGGCCCGAGACCGCCTCGAAGGACGCCGAGAGGACGCCGCCCAGGCACGTTTCCCCCTCGGGCGCCCCCGAAGCCATGAGAAGCTGTTTCCAAAGGGCACCAGAATGCCGCAACGCCTCCTCCTCCTCCTCCTCCTCCTCCTCCTCCTCCTCCTCCTCCTCCTCCTCCTCCCCTCCCCCCCTGCTCCCCCTCCTCCTGCTTCTCCTCCTCCTCCTCCTCCTCCTCCTCCTGCGTTTCTGCGTTTCTCGCTATGCAGCGTCTTGTCGCGCGCCCCGCGGGCGCGGAGCGCTCTGCAGCGGCCCACCAGGGCCGTGCGGGCGCTCAGACTGCGGCCCCGGGAACCCGGCCCCGAGGGAAACAGGGAACCAGGGACCAGTAAATCATAGAGAAGGGAGAGAGGGGCCGGGTTTCAGTAAAACAAAAAGATGAGGGCCCATCTGGGCCCCCGGCAGGCGCCGCGCGCGCCCGTGCCAGCTCAGCCAGCTCGGCCCGCAGCCAGGCCTCGGCCTCTTTGTGGGCGGTCGGCCTGTTGTCTGGCGGCTGGGCTCCCTTCGGCGCCTCGCGCTGAGCCCAGCCGCCAGGTCATCAGGTGGCTGGCCGCCTTCTCTGCGGCGGCCTCCACCCTTCGGCGCTCAGCGCTGTGGAGGCCCGCCGAGCCTCTGACTTCAGCGGCTCTGCAGCGCTGTCCTAGCCTCGGCCTCTTTGTGGGCGGTCGGCCTCTTGTGCGGCGGCTGGGCTCCCTTCGGCGCCTCGCGCTGAGCCCAGCCGCCAGGTCATCAGGTGGATGGCTTCCTTCTCTGCGGCGGCCTCCACCCTTCGGCGCTCAGCGCTGTGGAGTCCGCCGAGCCTCTGACTTCAGCGGCTCTGCAGCACTCTCCTCGCCTAGCGGTCGGTCTCATGTACGGCGGCTGGGCTCCCTTCGGCGCCTCGCGCTGAGCCCAGCCGCCAGGTCATCAGGTGGATGGCCGCCTTCTCTGCGGCGGCCTCCACCCTTCGGCGCTCAGCGCTGTGGAGGCCCGCCGAGCCTCTGGATTCAGCGGCTCTGCAGCACTCTCCTCGCCTGCCACGCGAGGACCGTCGGTCATGACCCCCTGCTTTTGAGCTGCAGGAGGGTACTGATCTCGGATGTTGTAGATGTCGTTGTATGGGGCTGCGTGCAGATGTGGAGCGAGTTGGCGAGGTCGTTGGGGATCGGGCTGTTGCTGGTGTTGTGTTGGTGGTGGGCTCCCAAGGCCTCCATGCACCGACTTCAAGTGGGGGTCGTTACTGTCCCACCTCGTCCCGCTATGGCTAGGGGTCACGGTGCCCTCGGTGGGGGCGGACCCCAGGCCTGGTACTTGTCGTCGGAGTGGTGTGTCTCGGCTGTCCAGCTTCGCCCTCGGGCGATCGGGTAGCTCCTCCTTCTCCATGGGAATGGTGGGGGTGGCGAGCTAGGGCGGGCCGCGGGGGCGCGGGTAGTGGCCGTGCTACCCCCCCCCCCCTGCCCCTCACCATCCCCGCTGGCGGGCGCGGGAAGTACTCGTCCTTCCCCCCCAGCCCTTCGAGCCCGTCTCGAAGTTTGATCCTCACCAGGACAGCGTTGACTTGAAAGGAGTTGTAGGGGGTCGTGTTGGGTATGCTGTCGATGTCGGTCGGTGGTACGCTGACGGCCAATGGGCCGCCCGCTGCCAGCCAGCTGGCGCCATCCATACTGTAGATCTCCAGGAGCCGCCGCGGTACACATCAAAACGTGGCGACTTGTGCCTGGGGTGTTCCCTCGCATTCGGGGCTTCCCCAGGTCTTGCGTTCTAACGATAGCCAAGGTTGGCGACGCTGCCTGAGGTCTTCCCACGCATTCGGGGCTTCCTCAGGACTTAAGCAGCACACCGTAATGCCTGCCCAGGGCCAAATAATCATAGTAAACAATGCCAATGTTAGGAAAGTCGATAAATCCAGCAAGTGCTCGAGGGGGGGGCACGCTCCGTCGCCATTGAAGGATCGTGCCCACCCGTATGGGCGCTACGGGTCCCCCCCCCTCGAGATGGCACGCAATCGTTGTCCAGGTCGCATCCGTACCAGTAACCCGTTAGCAACAGGGTTTGGGCCATGCCGTAGGTGCGCTGAGACTTCTGCAGCCAATCTGAAATACTCTGTATAAAATATTGTAATGCCAGCTGCCATCAGATCTGTAGCAAGCCGGCGGTCTGCGCCAAATTGCAGACCAGTGTTCCCTTACGGGGCAAAAGTATATAATACTGGACGCTTGACTCGCCTAACTGCACCAAATAAGCCGCCGCGGTGCCAATTGCTAGCGCCGATGGTTGCCCCATGCCCTGTGACAATCATGGCCGATCTGGTCTGTCTCCATGTAGTAATCCAAGGGGGCGTAGAACCTGTGGTAGCAGTCGTCCGTTTCGGCCCACATTGCCTCTGCGTCAGCAAGCTGCCCCCAGTGGGCTGCGAAGGCGGTAGCCATTGCCTTGCACAGCCTTGATGGATACTCTTTGAGGGGGGCGGTCCTCCAGCCGCCTTGGCCGTCTCGTCCGTAAACTCCGGCATGTCCCGCATGTCGGCATAGCTGTCCCCCAGGTACCGCCCTTAGCTCCTGTGCGAGTTCACCGAGGTGTGCCGCCATCAGACATGTTGGTTTTCTCGCGTCCTGCCCGAACTGGCACTGGTCTATGTAGTGAAGTTCGACGCCCGTCTGCTCCAGGAGCCAGAGCGTCTCTGCTCGCTGCCAGCTGCTGGGCGCTTGGGGGCACCATGTGGCTGGGGCGGGATGCTCGAGTACGGCTGAGACGTTGTACTGCAGGCCCGTGGTGATGAGTAGTAAAGCTGTCCTGTATAGCTCGTTGGCTAGTGCGATCTGTTGATGCTCCGCTTGGCTAGCTGCTTGTAT